ATATATATATATATATATATATATATTTGTTTCAGTTTTTATATTTTAAATATATTATTATAGTATTTTAAAAATTAATTTTATATTTACAAATTATTATTTGAGATTATTACTATATTTTTTATGTACATATACAAAATTATATATTTTCTTAATTAGATAGTCTAATATATTATTTTATTATATTTAAATCAGTATTTTTATATTATATTCATTATTATACTATTAAATAAAATATATATAATATATAGTATAATATTGACTATAATTTATTATTTAATTTTATCAATTTTTTAGGAAGAAAATGTATAGCATTTTTCAACTATAGAAGTATGTGAGAATATTTGATTAATTATCATAAAAGTTATACTAATTTTTTTTATAATTACTAAATATATATTTATTATAGAAAAATAAATAATTAATAAAATTAAGAATAAATTTAAGTCATACATTAAAAAAAATAAACAATATATAATAAAAAAAATCATAATTTTATTATTCATAAATTTATTATTTTTAATTTTCAAATTAAGATATTTTATTTAATTTTGATTCATGAATTTTTCGCATATTTAATATATTTTAAAAATATGTTTAGCTAATAAAAATGTAAAGAAAATAAATAAAAAATTAACTAGGAGAAGAATCATTAATTTATTTTATTTTAATTGAAATGTGAAAATGAATGATGATACCTTTGTACAGATCTTTCTACTTTCTAGAAAAGGGTATTAATAAATTATAAATTTAATATCTTAAAAATATAAAATATAATTTATACTTACAAAACAAAGAAAGTGACAGAAGAAGTAAGAGCATAAGTAAAATAATATTGTGAGAAGATTTAATTATTGTTTGGAAATATACTACACTTGACAGGTTTCTGAACTACTTGTTTCACCAACATAATATTTTTTCCACTATATTTGTTCACAATCTCATGCTTTTTCTTTGATCATCTTATTATTTGTGTTGAAAATGCTACCTGAAATTTTAATCTCCTCTGTCAGTGGAATTTCAACTAAAAAGTTTTAACAAACACCAACTTCATTCTACAGAAACAGAAACATTATATTTATTGGAAACAAAAGTTTGGACCTCCTGAAACCTTGCAGATTTATCTGACTAATGATGGGCAGATTTTCTTTGATTTCTTATAGAACTGAGATTGAGGTCATTTGGAAATTTATGAGAAGATATATATTCATTATTTTTATCTGTAGTTTAAGATTCTTGTGTACAAAAGCTATTAGAAACACAGTAAGATTTCTAGATTATAATAAATTAATTATAACATTTTTTTGTTTGTATATTACAATAAATGCATACATATATAAATTATTTAAAGATTAGATAAAAATAAGAATATAATTGACAAACAAAATATAAATATTAATGTTCTCTTAAACTTAACAGATACAATTAAATTCAAATTAAAAAATTAAAATTGTAACACCTAAAAAAAATGGAGGGAGTAATTTCTAGGTTTAGGTTTTGTGTATCCTTACAGGGATTACAATCTCTCTGGATGATTGTAGAGAAAAAATTAATATTGAAATGATGGCGTGTATGGTATAATGATTTTATTATAAAAAATTTAATAATTTTTGTATCCAAACAAAAACACTTGAATTTGTTTAACCTCAGAATAAATTTTTCAATTTTGACTGAAATAAGAATTGTTATAGTTGTTGTCTCCAAGCATTAGCAACAGTTGCTTGTTCTATATATAACATGTTTATGTTATGACTTACATGGACTGCCCTTGAGTTCAGCTCTTTCCAATTTTGAAATGCATTTTCCAGCTTCTTATTATATTTGTCAAATCTTTTCTTTGACAAAGTGCTTCTTGCATAACAAAAAGTTTTACTGACTTTAATAGATGGGCCTTGAAGTCATATCTTTCCTCCAAGAAATTCATGTCTTGATGCATCATATTTACTTTGAATTTCTTCTTCACTTTTACTGCATGTTAAGATTTGTCTATAGTTTTTCTTTCACAAAGAGCTAATCATTCAATTATTTTTTTCAGTAAGATCTGTCTAATGTTTTCCTTCAATAAGTGCTACTCATTTGCTATGTTTCAGTTCAGATTTTTAGATGGGCCTCCAAGTAATTTCCAATTTGAGTTCCTTCTTATATGATTTGAGGTCTGTTTCTCAAGAGTTCCAGAATAATATACTATTTTTCAAATACAAGATAGTATTAGAAAATGTGTTAATTTTCTTTAAAACTTGGCTTTTGATCTGATCAACTCCAACATTTAGAGAAGTCCAAACCTGACAATCGTACAGAAAACATAGAACACTAATATTAATGTCCCAAGTGTCAAAAGCTTTTACTGGTTTCTATGATCGTGAATGCAAACTTTTATAAGTGTTTACATTATCACATAAAGCACCATTTGAGGTTCACAGGTATCCCCTTCATCACCCTACAGTGTATCTTTTCAATCTTTCAATTAGTTTCCAGACTCGTGTATGGCATTCAATAAACCGAGAAATCATTTTATAACCTGAATCCCAGCCCAATTAGCGCAATATTTCAAAAGATACACTGCAAATTAATAAGTAATAAGATTTTACACTGAAGTATTTCCAATTCATTTACTCTGCCAAGTTGCCATAACAAAGAACATAGGCACTGGACTGACAAGCATACAGAATTACATACTGCATAAACAACATGATCTTAGAAGTTTACTGATCCAAACGATAGAGTTCATAACATAAATATTTATACAAACTATTCTAGTCCAGTATCACATCACACAACCAGAATGATATATTATATCCTAGTGTTTACTGGCTGGATGTATGTATAGCACCTACTGTTGAGACCATGGAATCTACTCCACATACATTTTTACCTCTGCAGATCTTGTAGTATCCATTCTCTCCCCAGCTCTCCCCCCACGAATTCTTAATGATCCAGTAAGGCTTTTCCTTAAAACGAATGGGAGCATATGCACCTTCACCATAACCCACTAAAAGAACCCCATGATCCAAATGCTTCCCACAGATGTATGGACAAGAGACACCACCAATGTATGTCTGCATATATACTGCATTGATAGCCACTGTACCAAGCAAAGCAACAGTCAGTATTTCTATAATTCCCCATTAAATATGTGTCTCGTAATTTATTTTGTACCAAAAAAAGTAAAGATCAAACAGATATGTCAACATAATTCCTTTATGGAGCGGGAAGGGGGTAGAAGTAAGGGTGCCAAATCTTTTTTTAATGAGAACAAATAAGGTACCTGCAAGAGGGCCATTCTTCACAAGATTTGCAGCAATTTGATCTTCATCAAGGGAAATCACACTGTAATTAGCTACAGAAGCTGCAATTTTGCTTTTATCAAATTTGCAGGAGCTATCTCTTCCAGTGTATGGATAGTCCTTTTCTCTCTGTACTCCCCCAGCCCCAAGTATGTACTCAAATGCGTTGTTCATCAAGCCACCATTACAGCCTGAGTCACACGCTCCATATTCTTCTGGATCACACTGCGAGATTCACAGCCGTTAATTCATCATTATATATCTGAGTGGTGGCAAATTTTAGTACTTTACTGTCTTACCAACTACCAAGGTACACATGTGATCTAGACACAAATGACATATTACACTAACAAAGGATTCTAATAAACTTTGAAATTATAGAGTATAAGTGGATAGCATAATTACTTTACAACTTCTAAAAGCACCATAAAATTAGCAAGAAAAAAATACAAAACATAAACTAGAAAAGAAGATCGATGTTCGAAAAGGTAGCATACACATCACATTCATCAATGTTCCATCACATAACACAATTACATAAATATAGTAGAATTTTCATTCGTATTAATATAACAGTTGAAAATAAAGTAAAATAGTAAAACACAGTAAATATCATCTGAAATTTCCAATCAGGAATCATGTCAAACATGCATATGGCTATTATTTCGAAGTGTGTTAGCTTACGGTCGGGAAAATCATGTCTTGATCGCATTACTGAGCATCCGGAGTATGTTATTGTGATCAAAACAGTTTTTAAAGTCGCGGAAATATTTATAAAATCAAAATGAAACAATTATTTACTACAACCTATGATTTTCCTTTACAACCATACACCGTAAAATAGCGTATCATAAACACACTCAAATCAGATGCAATAATGTTACGATACACTTTAAATCATACAAAATCATGTTGATATATCGGTTAAATCGACTTTAAATGTTCAAAAGTGTTTGATCTCACTGGAAAAAATGCATCCGAGTCCAAAATTGATTTTGTCTTGAAACAATCTCAGACAACTTTTGCTTGAAATTAAAAGAAATTTTCTTGAGAACACTTGACTTCAAAAATTAATTTGAACCCCCTCAATTTTACAAACACTATTCGATCATACTGCAAACACCAAAAGGCAAGATCGAAATCCAAAAGGGGCTAAAAAAAGAAGAGGAAAAAGAGAGAAACGAACCACGTGGTCGCAATCCACAAGCTGTTGCTCACTAAGACTCACAAGCTCACCAGTAGCCAAAAAGTGAGCTCCTTCCAATGCCCCCGTGGTACTGAAAGACCAACACGATCCACACGCACCCTAAACACATAACACAAATTAAATTTCACGCCAAATAAAAAACTGATTAAATAATACTAATAATAACAATTAATTTATTAGTATTAATATGATAATTACTTGGTCCTTGACGCCAGTGACGGCTCCTTTGTCTCTCCAATCGAAATCTTTTGGGAGATTGTTGGTGGGGAGGATGGGGGCCTTCTGCGCGTTTGACGGCAAGCGGAGCGGTTTGAGACCGAGGAACTGGCGATGGAACTCCGCCGGAGTGAGATCGGAGAATTTGGTGACGCCGTGGACGGCGGAGGGGTCGAGTTGCGCGTGAAGCCTCGCCCTGCGCAGGTTTGACTTGAATACCCCGAAGCGATGATCGTGTTCTTCCTTCGTCGCGTAGGTTTTCCCGAACTTCGCCTTGAAGTTCGAGAAGTGGTGCTCCGCGTTCAGCAGGTGGTCCTCTACCTCGCCCTCCGGCACCACCTGACGGATCAGGATGTCATCAGCGTCGGTGTTGGCACCAGCGGCAGCGGCCACGGCGGCGAAGAGGAGGAGAGCGCAGAGGGAGTAGCGAGCCATGGGGAAGTCAAAAGGGGATGGATTGGGCGAAGAAAGAACTGGCGGAAATTTAACATAAGCGCAGCCAATAGAATTTTGACACGTGTCAACGGCGTCGTTTTCTAAAACTTGGGAGTGCACTCCTCAGCTAACACTATTCGCTAATAATCCATTAAAAATACGTGTTCGTGTGATGTACGCAAAACGTATACCCTTTGCTTTGGTTTATTATACATCATTAAGCTAATATTTTATATTATAATGATGATATTACTAACTAATCAAACAAATTAAGTTTTTTAAGTGGTTTCTTTGGTTTTTTTGTCTGGATTTAATTTATATATGGTCTAACATTAACATTTATAAGATTTTTGCCACCTACTAATTTTATTTATACGATTTAGATTAATACTAGAAATTATGACATCAATTTTAGTTACTTATGCCAAACAAATACTCTGCAATATCCGCATTGGACATCCATTTTCTTTTTATAATAACAGATTATTGTAAGCACGTACTATTTACTTAATCATGCCCAATTTGTATCCATACCTAGCATACGTATACTCATAAAATACAGTACATATGCAACACGATCCATACAAACAGCATGATTCATTCATTATTGCTTTCCCACAAGGTGTCTACGTCATGGCAAAGTTATTCAAATTATTATTATTATTATTATTATTATTATTATTATTATTATTATTATTATTATTATTATTNTTCATTATTTTTATCTGTAGTTTAAGATTCTTGTGTACAAAAGCTATTAGAAACACAGTAAGATTTCTAGATTATAATAAATTAATTATAACATTTTTTTGTTTGTATATTACAATAAATGCATACATATATAAATTATTTAAAGATTAGATAAAAATAAGAATATAATTGACAAACAAAATATAAATATTAATGTTCTCTTAAACTTAACAGATACAATTAAATTCAAATTAAAAAATTAAAATTGTAACACCTAAAAAAAATGGAGGGAGTAATTTCTAGGTTTAGGTTTTGTGTATCCTTACAGGGATTACAATCTCTCTGGATGATTGTAGAGAAAAAATTAATATTGAAATGATGGCGTGTATGGTATAATGATTTTATTATAAAAAATTTAATAATTTTTGTATCCAAACAAAAACACTTGAATTTGTTTAACCTCAGAATAAATTTTTCAATTTTGACTGAAATAAGAATTGTTATAGTTGTTGTCTCCAAGCATTAGCAACAGTTGCTTGTTCTATATATAACATGTTTATGTTATGACTTACATGGACTGCCCTTGAGTTCAGCTCTTTCCAATTTTGAAATGCATTTTCCAGCTTCTTATTATATTTGTCAAATCTTTTCTTTGACAAAGTGCTTCTTGCATAACAAAAAGTTTTACTGACTTTAATAGATGGGCCTTGAAGTCATATCTTTCCTCCAAGAAATTCATGTCTTGATGCATCATATTTACTTTGAATTTCTTCTTCACTTTTACTGCATGTTAAGATTTGTCTATAGTTTTTCTTTCACAAAGAGCTAATCATTCAATTATTTTTTCCAGTAAGATCTGTCTAATGTTTTCCTTCAATAAGTGCTACTCATTTGCTATGTTTCAGTTCAGATTTTTAGATGGGCCTCCAAGTAATATCCAATTTGAGTTCCTTCTTATATGATTTGAGGTCTGTTTCTCAAGAGTTCCAGAATAATATACTATTTTTCAAATACAAGATAGTATTAGAAAATGTGTTAATTTTCTTTAAAACATGGCTTTTGATCTGATCAACTCCAACAGTTAGAGAAGTCCAAACCTGACAATCGTACAGAAAACATAGAACACTAATATTAATGTCCCAAGTGTCAAAAGCTTTTACTGGTTTCTATGATCGTGAATGCAAACTTTTATAAGTGTTTACATTATCACATAAAGCACCATTTGAGGTTCACAGGTATCCCCTTCATCACCCTACAGTGTATCTTTTCAATCTTTCAATTAGTTTCCAGACTCGTGTATGGCATTCAATAAACCGAGAAATCATTTTATAACCTGAATCCCAGCCCAATTAGCGCAATATTTCAAAAGATACACTGCAAATTAATAAGTAATAAGATTTTACACTGAAGTATTTCCAATTCATTTACTCTGCCAAGTTGCCATAACAAAGAACATAGGCACTGGACTGACAAGCATACAGAATTACATACTGCATAAACAACATGATCTTAGAAGTTTACTGATCCAAACGATAGAGTTCATAACATATATATTTATACAAACTATTCTAGTCCAGTATCACATCACACAACCAGAATGATATATTATATCCTAGTGTTTACTGGCTGGATGTATGTATAGCACCTACTGTTGAGACCATGGAATCTACTCCACATACATTTTTACCTCTGCAGATCTTGTAGTATCCATTCTCTCCCCAGCTCTCCCCCCACGAATTCTTAATGATCCAGTAAGGCTTTTCCTTAAAACGAATGGGAGCATATGCACCTTCACCATAACCCACTAAAAGAACCCCATGATCCAAATGCTTCCCACAGATGTATGGACAAGAGACACCACCAATGTATGTCTGCATATATACTGCATTGATAGCCACTGTACCAAGCAAAGCAACAGTCAGTATTTCTATAATTCCCCATTAAATATGTGTCTCGTAATTTATTTTGTACCAAAAAAAGTAAAGATCAAACAGATATGTCAACATAATTCCTTTATGGAGCGGGAAGGGGGTAGAAGTAAGGGTGCCAAATCTTTTTTTAATGAGAACAAATAAGGTACCTGCAAGAGGGCCATTCTTCACAAGATTTGCAGCAATTTGATCTTCATCAAGGGAAATCACACTGTAATTAGCTACAGAAGCTGCAATTTTGCTTTTATCAAATTTGCAGGAGCTATCTCTTCCAGTGTATGGATAGTCCTTTTCTCTCTGTACTCCCCCAGCCCCAAGTATGTACTCAAATGCGTTGTTCATCAAGCCACCATTACAGCCTGAGTCACACGCTCCATATTCTTCTGGATCACACTGCGAGATTCACAGCCGTTAATTCATCATTATATATCTGAGTGGTGGCAAATTTTAGTACTTTACTGTCTTACCAACTACCAAGGTACACATGTGATCTAGACACAAATGACATATTACACTAACAAAGGATTCTAATAAACTTTGAAATTATAGAGTATAAGTGGATAGCATAATTACTTTACAACTTCTAAAAGCACCATAAAATTAGCAAGAAAAAAATACAAAACATAAACTAGAAAAGAAGATCGATGTTCGAAAAGGTAGCATACACATCACATTCATCAATGTTCCATCACATAACACAATTACATAAATATAGTAGAATTTTCATTCGTATTAATATAACAGTTGAAAATAAAGTAAAATAGTAAAACACAGTAAATATCATCTGAAATTTCCAATCAGGAATCATGTCAAACATGCATATGGCTATTATTTCGAAGTGTGTTAGCTTACGGTCGGGAAAATCATGTCTTGATCGCATTACTGAGCATCCGGAGTATGTTATTGTGATCAAAACAGTTTTTAAAGTCGCGGAAATATTTATAAAATCAAAATGAAACAATTATTTACTACAACCTATGATTTTCCTTTACAACCATACACCGTAAAATAGCGTATCATAAACACACTCAAATCAGATGCAATAATGTTACGATACACTTTAAATCATACAAAATCATGTTGATATATCGGTTAAATCGACTTTAAATGTTCAAAAGTGTTTGATCTCACTGGAAAAAATGCATCCGAGTCCAAAATTGATTTTGTCTTGAAACAATCTCAGACAACTTTTGCTTGAAATTAAAAGAAATTTTCTTGAGAACACTTGACTTCAATAATTAATTTGAACCCCCTCAATTTTACAAACACTTTTCGATCATACTGCAAACACCAAAAGGCAAGATCGAAATCCAAAAGGGGCTAAAAAAAGAAGAGGAAAAAGAGAGAAACGAACCACGTGGTCGCAATCCACAAGCTGTTGCTCACTAAGACTCACAAGCTCACCAGTAGCCAAAAAGTGAGCTCCTTCCAATGCCCCCGTGGTACTGAAAGACCAACACGATCCACACGCACCCTAAACACATAACACAAATTAAATTTCACGCCAAATAAAAAACTTATTAAATAATACTAATAATAACAATTAATTTATTAGTATTAATATGATAATTACTTGGTCCTTGACGCCAGTGACGGCTCCTTTGTCTCTCCAATCGAAATCTTTTGGGAGATTGTTGGTGGGGAGGATGGGGGCCTTCTGCGCGTTTGACGGCAAGCGGAGCGGTTTGAGACCGAGGAACTGGCGATGGAACTCCGCCGGAGTGAGATCGGAGAATTTGGTGACGCCGTGGACGGCGGAGGGGTCGAGTTGCGCGTGAAGCCTCGCCCTGCGCAGGTTTGACTTGAATACCCCGAAGCGATGATCGTGTTCTTCCTTCGTCGCGTAGGTTTTCCCGAACTTCGCCTTGAAGTTCGAGAAGTGGTGCTCCGCGTTCAGCAGGTGGTCCTCTACCTCGCCCTCCGGCACCACCTGACGGATCAGGATGTCATCAGCGTCGGTGTTGGCACCAGCGGCAGCGGCCACGGCGGCGAAGAGGAGGAGAGCGCAGAGGGAGTAGCGAGCCATGGGGAAGTCAAAAGGGGATGGATTGGGCGAAGAAAGAACTGGCGGAAATTTAACATAAGCGCAGCCAATAGAATTTTGACACGTGTCAACGGCGTCGTTTTCTAAAACTTGGGAGTGCACTCCTCAGCTAACACTATTCGCTAATAATCCATTAAAAATACGTGTTCGTGTGATGTACGCAAAACGTATACCCTTTGCTTTGGTTTATTATACATCATTAAGCTAATATTTTATATTATAATGATGATATTACTAACTAATCAAACAAATTAAGTTTTTTAAGTGGTTTCTTTGGTTTTTTTGTCTGGATTTAATTTATATATGGTCTAACATTAACATTTATAAGATTTTTGCCACCTACTAATTTTATTTATACGATTTAGATTAATACTA